CACCAGCAGGCGCCCACGCTGCGCGAGCTGCACGCCATGGCCCGCCTGGTCAACGCCCAGCCGCTGACGGGGCCCAGCGACAAGCAGCACGGCATTAAGCTGCCGCCAGGCGCGCGCGCGGCCTGCTGGCGCGGCCGCGGCCTCTGCCGCTGCTGGCATCACCTGCTTGCGCTGCGCTCCGACTCGCCGCTGCCGCCGCCCCTCTGCCCCGCCTGCAGTGGCCGACTGCCTGCTGAGCCAAAACTACCAGCCCCGGCCGCGGCAGCGCCCCGCGCGGCCGCAGGCGGCGGGCGGCGCGCCCGCGGGGCCGCCGCGGCAGCACTATGCCGTGAAACACAAGCAGGCGATGGGCATGTCCATACCGCAGCAGTGGCAGCCCGCGCCGGATGCGGCGGCGGGCAGCGCGGAGCCATTTGCGCCGGCAGCCTACCAGCAGCGGCAGCCGCAGCAGCAGGCCCAGCAGCAAGAGGAGCAGGGGGCGGTCATGGATGTCGATCGAGAGGAGATCTAGCGGGCGGGCCTTGCTTTGAGCCGAGTGCGTTGCGTGCTGCGTCGACAAGGTGCTACAGATGAAGCTGTAACAGACGACTGGGCCTGTGATGTTGCGTATTACATACCATTGGGTTGATGGAGGAAACCAAATTTGGAAAAAAGGCACAAAGGAAGGTGGGGAAGGGGATATGGGAAGGGAGTGGGAAGTGAATCTGTGGTGAGATCTATGGGGGTATTGGAACGTTTTGGGTTGGGCCGGAGCACTAGGCGCAAGGGGGAGGTCTGGCACAGCACAAAGGGGGGAAGCAGTCATGCAAGGTGAGAGCATTGATGGGCAAGGGGGCGAGGTCTCAGGCATGCGTTCGAGGTGTGCTCACGGTCGTGTGACTGGAAAAAGGTGCAGGCGGGCACGTTGCGAGGCAAGCAAGAATTAGGCAGTTGAGGTGACATGGAACGAGGGTGTGTGGGCCCACACGCGGCACAGGCCTGGCACCCTGTCTTGGGGGGGGGCATGATCTGTTGGCTGGCTGGTTGGGTTGGCTCCAGCCATGAAAAAAGCTCGTTGTTATCAAAGCAATGTGTGGCAACGCGACGAGGTGGCTCAGCGCGAGGCGGCCGCCACTGGCAGCGGCGCCGGCAGCAGGCCCAGCTCCTGAGAGATGATGAGCAGCTCCTCCTCGGTGGGCACATCGATGCCCTGCAGGCCCAGCGTGGCACAGCACGGCTCAGCGTGGCGCGGCATGCAACATGTTGCACATAGCCGCGGCTTGAGCTGGCGGGCTTGCCTGCCTGCATGCCAGCACGCGGCCGGCTGCAAGCATGGATTGCAACGGCGGGGCCGAGCGGCACCTTCTCCCGCAGCCCACCTGCGTCCACGCCACCTGCTCGCCGCACGTCGCCCAGGCGGCCTGCTGCTGCGCCAGCAGGGCGGTGGCGAGCGGCGGCAGCAGCTGCTGCGCTGGGCGCGCTGGGCTGTACTGCGCACGAGGCAGCAGCGCCGGCGGCAGCGCCGCCGAGGCCACCGACGGCTGGCGCTGGCCTGCCAGCTGGAAGGGAAGGCAGTGCATCTGCTCAGAGGTGACCGATCCGGAGCACTGTCGGTCGCCGGTCGCCGACGCCGCCACGGGCTGCCCGCTGCACTGCAGCAGCGGGTGCGGCTGCGGCACCGGCGGCGCAAGCAGGGGCGAAGGGGCCGGCTCCATGGCTTGCAGGCTCCAGGGAGAGAACAGGGAGAGGTCGGGGTGGTGGTGGGCCTGGTGGTGGCTGGCGAAGGACACCATCCGTGGCGCGGGCAGAGGGGCCTGCTGGCTGGGCTGGCCGGGCTGGCACTCCTCCCGAGGCGCCGCAGCAGCCGCAGCTGCCAGGCTGGCAGGCGCCCCGCCCTGGGAATCAGGCAACCCGCTCCCCTCACTTGCCAGCAGGCTCAGCGCGGCGCTGCGGGCGGCGCCCCTGGCGTGGCGCAGCCGCAAGCTCCGCTGCGGCTGCGAACTCGCGCTCCCTCCCTGCTGCTGCTGCTCCGCCTCCTGCGGCTCGCGCTGGCGCGAGTGCTGCTGCCTGCGCCGCTTCTTGGCCAGGCGGCGGCGCTCCAGGCTGGCGTGGCAGGAGCGCGCGTCTCCCGGGAAGCTGTCGAGGTGGTGGGGGCGGGCGCACTGCACGCATTGGCAGGAAGAGAGCGGCGGCTAGGTGTGCGGTTGCGTGCAGCCGTCGGCCTGCTGGCACGCGCCGCTGGGCTGGCAGCAGGGGGCAACAGCCCAGCGCAGCAGGCAGCTTTTTCATTGAACACAATGCCCCGCCTGTTTGCCATCAAATGCTTGCCTGTTGGCAGTACCGCAGCACGGCGCCGTCCACCTCGATCCGCAGCGCAGAGTGGTGCGCGGCGCAGATGCGGTGCAGCTGCACAGCGGGGGCGGCAGGCGCAGCGCGATGTTGGCAGGGCAGGGGACGCAGCGGCTATGGGATGCCCAGGAAACAGGACAGGCTGGGTGAGCCTTCATCAGCCGAGCCGAGAGGGCTATGCCAGGCAGGCAGCAGGTCAGCTGCCCAGCAGACAATTCAGGCGTCGTGACTGGGCAGGCGTGCTCCTTTGTGCCTCCTGGCCGCCGGCGGTGCATGCCGGCTGTGGGGAGCCCCGCTGCTGGGGCGCCTGCTTGCCTGGCTGTAGGGTGTGGACAAGGCATGGGTGCAGCCCTCGATGCGGCACATCTGGGACTTGAAAGGGCGCCGGTGTGGGCTGGAACAGGCAGAGCCGCCGCTGCCGCTGTGGCGAGGCGACGGCGAGGCCCCGACGGGACCGGTGGCTGGGTCAGTAGCTGGTCCGCTGGCGTCGCCCAAAGCAGCGGGGAGCTCCGCGCCACGACGCAGAGCTGCTTGCTTGTGGTTGCCGCCGCCAAAGGCGGACGACGGCCAATCGTCACTTAGGGTTGGGTCACAAAACGGACTCCGGCTGGACGCGGTTGAGAGTTAAGGGCGCCGTCCAACACCCTCTGGAACCGGCTAACGCAGGATCTGGCAGCACTGCGGGGTCCGGCTCGAGCGGAGGCGAGCGTCCCCTGGGATCAACCCCCAAGGGTGGGCGCCCAAGCAGCTGCAGTTGTTTGTGACAGATGCAGGCGGGGTAGAATGGCTGGACGGCCACTTGAGGGAGCCAGAGCTTAGTGAGAGTGGCCATGCCATGTCAGGGCCGCCGCCCCAGCGCTATGCCCCAGCGCACTCAGCATAACGCAGCAGCAGAGGGCAACGAGCAGAGAGTAACATGTCACAGTTCAATCAAAAGCTCCAGGAGTGCAAGTAATGAAGACGAGCATGCGCTGAGCCCGCCTGCCGGTCGTCAATCCCAAACGCCACCGCGCCACCGGAGCGCGGCTGCAGCCAGGGCTGCCGCGGCGTCGGCCTCCGCAGCAGCACCCGCCACGCCTGGGCTGGCGCCTGGCATCCAATGCCGGCGCACTGTCGAGGTTCACGCAGTTACAACGATCATTCGTGAGTGTGGAGGTCACACGTGGCAAATCTCCTGGCCCCGCCGTAGGCAAGTTTGGGGCGGCAAGGTTGGGGGAAGAGTGTGTGGAGGCAAGGGGTCAGATGGAACAGGGAGGAGGAAAAGATTTGCAGATGGTGAGATGGGAGGCCCTTCCCGTCATGGGGAGCCCTTCCCGTCACGGGCAGTGCTGTGGTCCGAGTAAGGGGGTACAATCACCGGTCAAAAGGCGTGGTCTGGAAGAAACGCGACGGAAAGGGAGCGAGCCCCTGCTCCTGCTGCAGCAGCTGCCGCCACTGCAGGTGCAGCGCGTGCGCGGCCTGCTGCGCCCGCTGCGCCTGCTGCGCAGCCAGCAGCGCCAGCGCCGGAGATGCGGGCCACCCTGGCGCTGCCGCTGGCGCCGCCGCCGCCGCCGGCAGCTGCTCCTGAGGCAGCACAGGGAGCTGGGGCGCAGGCTGCGGGTGGGCGGCCTCCAGCTCCTGAGCTATAGCCAGCATTTCCGCTTCGCTGGGCACCACATTGTGCCCATCTCCCTGCAGGCACAAGCGGTGTCGGCGACGGCAGCAGCGGCGGCGGCCTCAGTACTGGCGGGAAGCAAGCACGTGCCGGCCGGCCAGCCAGAGTGCTGCCGCAGGCGCCGCCACCCAGCCCCGCCTGCGGCTGCCCGTTCCAGATCCTCACAGCGAAGGCAGGGAAGAGAGCGGCGGCAGCTCACCATGAGGAGGCCGAGGTCGTCTTCCAGCAGCCAAGCCGCCTGCTCCACCAAGCGGGGGCAGGGCTGCGTCCGCAGCGCCAGCAGCGGCACCGGCGGCAGGTTGCCGGGGGCGGGCACGCTGCATGCCCGGCCCAGGCGTGGCGCGGCGGGCTGCTGCTGGCACCAGTGAAGTTCGCGCGTGGGAGGCAGGGCCTGGGGGCTGGCGTACGGTGGCAGCGCAGCGGCCGATGTCGCCGACAGCGCTGGCTTGTCGGGGCCCGGGCCGGGCTGCCAGGGGCCGGTGCGTATCTCCGCTGGCACATCAGGCAGCAGCGGGAGCTGACCCTGCAGGGCCTGCTGCCCCCCCAGCTGCCGCCCTGCAATCAGCAGCTGAGGGTGCTGCTGCAGCGCCGAGGGCTGCGGCGTGGGGGGGAGGAGCACGGGCGGCGTCGGCGGCGCCGACATGGGAGCCGTCAGCGGCTGCGGGGCCGAGTGGCAGCGGATCAGCTGCGCCGGCGGGTGCCCTCCCGGCTGGAGCTCCCAGGGCTGACCTTGCAGCCCAGGGTCTTCCTCAGCCTGGGATAGAGTGCCGCCGCTGGCCGGGCTGCCACGCCAGCTGGCGCCTCCAGCTGGCGCCGCCCCGCTGCTGGCCCCAAACGACGCCTGCCGCTGCCGCTGGCTCGGCGACCGCTCTCCCGGCCTACTGCCAGGCTGCTGCCGTGGCTCCGGCTCCGGCTGGCAGTCGTGGGCGGGGTCGCCGCCGCCGCCCGCCTCGCGCTGCAGCTGCCGCCGCTTGCGCTGCCGCCGCCGCTGCAGGCTGTGCTGGCAGCTGCGGGCGTCGCCGCCAAACTCGTCCACCGTGTGCACCTTGGTGCACTGCGGGGCAAGGCCACGGCCAGCCGGAGTCAGGATGCGTAGGGATGTGCAGCCGCATCCGCTGTGAGGCGCCTACCGAGCACACCACCACCACACTACCACCACCACCACATCACGACGACACCAACACAACCACCCTCCCGCTGCAGCGGACCCAGCTGGTGCCCGTGCCTGCTCATGCTCACCTGCTGGCAGTAGCGCAGCGCCTGCGCCTGGCCCGCCACCTCGATCTGCAGCGCGGCCCGGTGGGCGGCACAGATGCGGTGCAGCTGCACAGCATTGGCGGCAGGTGTGGGCGGGCGGGCGGGGTCGGGGCGGAGGGGCGGCGGGGCAGGCAGGGCTCTGAGCCGGGCGGGGGAGGGAGCTGCATGGTGGCTGTGCAGCTGCACCTGGCAGGGGCTGCCAGACAGGCCTGTTTACGCTGAGGCTGCTTGCATGCAGAGGCGGTGCGTGGAAGCCAACCGGGCTGCTCCGAGCGGCATGACCGGCTCGCATGCTTGCCTTGTTGTAGGAGTGGGTGAGTGCCTGGCTGCAGCCGGCGATGCGGCAGGCGGGCGAGGCTGGCGTCGTGCGGCGCTGCCGCTGCTTCTTGCTGGCGTCCGAGCCGGCGGCGGCGCCGGTGCCATCGCTGGTGCCGCTGCCGGCGCTGGCTTGGGTCTGCTGCTCGCAGCTTCCCCCAGGCTCTCCCTCCGTCATCCTGCGGGGCTCCGCGCCCTGTTTGCTGGGGAATTCTAATCTCAAGACAGGGGATTCAGTTGGGGGTGAGCCAGGAGTCACTTGCACGGGCGTGTCCGTTCGCTCAAAGAAGGACCGTGCAGCAAGCCTGGGCGCGCAGACGCCCTCCAACACGCTGCTGTGCCACGCCAATGTCGCTTGCAAGCTCGAACCCCCGTTCGCTCACCAGTTCCCGTTTTAAGGGGGCACATTCGTGGGCAGGAGCGAGTTAGATGGCCTCTGTATCTCCTAGATGGTCCCATTATGTTGAGAAGACATGATCAGAGCGCCTTCAGGCCTGAAAGTTGGGCGGGAGGCTGCTGTGTCCCCAAGCTCTTGCAGGGGCGCCCGTGCTGAGGACGGGAGGGTGCTGTGGGACTCGGTTGTATTCAGCGTGTGCTAAAAAGGCATCAAGGGCGGAATAAGTTCCATCCCCATTTTGGGAGGACGGAGACACATGCCAGCCTGGCCCCACGTGATGCACTCTCGTCCAGGGGTTCCTTCCTCTGGCCGATGAGCGATTTGGAGCAATGGTCCATTGAATGGATGCCCCTCTGATAAATGATTATCACAGTTATTGAAGCAGTCCAGTGACCGAACGAGTGCTCCCACCAAGTGACTGCTCACTGGACGGCAGGCTGCCAAACCCCGTCGGATCAACTGACTGGGTGGGTAAACAGAGGGACACTCCTGAAAGGAACACTTCGCAGCGTGCTGCTTCGCGGCGACAGCGAGCAGCGCTGGCCACCGGCCATGCGCAGGCGCCCGTGCCGCCTACATGCCCGCCGCAGCCAGCAGCCCCGCCGGCGCCGCAGCCAGCGCCGCAAACGACTGCCGCATGCTCTCCGCAAAGCGCGCCGGCACGCCCGCCGCCTCCGCCGGCAGGAAGAACAGCCAGTGCGCCGACACAAGCAGCACGCCCTGCATGGCAGTGCAGAAAGACCCACGAGCAGCCAGCCAGCCAGCCAGCCAGTCGAACAAGGCCAGGCCCGCGTCCCAGATATTCAGCACGACCAGCGGCAGGCAGCAGCAGCAGCGCAGTGGCCTCCTTTGCAGCTCGCCGTCTCCCCGCCGCCCCAAACTGACGGCGCCAACAGCCAGGCAGCGGGCCCTCAAAAGGCACGGCCCCCAGGCGGCAGCGGCGCGGCGCCCACCAGGGTCAGCGCGATGCGCAGCAGCTCGGGAGGGGCGGCCCCCTGCTGCTTCAGCCGCGCCATAATCACTCGCTCGGCCAGGATGAGGGGCACCTGGCCTGCAGCAAAGCGCAGCACAGCGTGGGGCAGCGCAGCACAGCGTGGGGCAGCACAGAACAGCGTGATGAGCGCAGCGCAGCGCGCACCCCAACGAGCACAGCACAGCGCACCCTAACGAGCACAGCGCAGCGCAGCGCCTCATGCGCTGCCCGCGCCTGCCTGCCTGCGCAGTCCAGCCCACCTGTGAAGAACCAGAGCCAGGCCAGCCCCCTGGTTGTACTGCCCTCCACATACCTGCACCCACAGGCGGCGGGCAGGCACCCCGAGGAGGCTCACCGCGCCGCACCGCTTCAAAGCATCTTTCCCAATCCTTCCACACTGAACACTGGCACGCTCCACTCTGCTCAAGGTTGGTGGGCAGCGCACGTGCTGACGTGGCGGCCGCTGTGCGCGGTATGCAGCAGCAGGGGGCCCACCAGAAGATCAGCTCATGCACCGCCCCCGAGGCAAAGAAGCTAGCAGTCATGCCCAGCAGGCGCCTGCCCTCGCCACCGCGCACATCCGCCGCAACGCTCGCTGCCGCCGCAGAAGCTGCGGTCGCCGTCGCCAGGCGCGCGCTGTGGCGGCGCTGGGCGCTGCCTCCGGAGCCGCGGCCGTGGTCGGCGCCAGCTGGGTGCTGCGCCTTTGACTGGTCAACCAGGCTGCCTTGCGCAATGGGATCGTAGATGGTGGTTCGCAGCGCGTTGCTGGCGGCCTGGTTCCAGTGCAGGCCCCAGAAGTCTGCCAGGCTGCAGTGGGGAGGAAAGCGCGCGGGTCTGGGCGGCCGGTGCATCAGCCAGGCAGGCGGGTCGCGTGTGAGCATCCAAAGCAGGACTGCAATGGCCTGGCCCCACGCCACGACGGCCCAAGTGGCAGGCAGGCTGGCACTGGGCTGGCGGAGTGGAGGGATGGCGGGAAATGCCGACAGGCAGGGTGCTGGCAAGGGGCTGGCATCATGGGCCTCGCACCCGCCGGCGGCGGGTGCTGGCGGGCTGGCAGGCAGGCAGGAGGCCCCGGCTACACACCTGCGGCTCTCCCAGGGCGGCAGGAAGTGAGGGGCCAGCGCCAGCTGTAGCGGCGCCAGCACCAGCGCCGCGGGGCCGTCCATCACCACCCCCAGCATCGTGTACAGGCCCACCACGTAGAGGCACGACTTGGCAAAGGGAGGCAGGTCAGGCAGCAGCAGGGTGAAGACGACTGCGGCCGTCACCCCAGCCTTGAGCAGCCACCTGCGCGTGGCAGCCGGGGCAGGGAAGGAGGGCGGGGCCGAGCTTGAGTGGCAGTCAAGAGCAGGGTAGGGGTGGGGAGGCAGAGGGCCTTTGGAGGCTGGGGCAGGGGCCGGGCAGGGCTGCCAGGCCTCGGATTTGAGAAGTGTTCCCTGTAAGGTGGAGCTGCCCGCCTGGCCAGGCCTGCCTGCCTGCCTTGCAGGCCAGCCGGCGTCCAGCCCGCTGCGCCCACCGGGCAAACATCTGGGCCCCGGTGCCGGGGCTCTCGTGGTGCTGCTTCCTGGGCCTGCGGCGCGGGCCGCCGCTGGCGCTGGGTGGCGCGGCGGGCACTATGGGCAGGAGGTACAGCACCCAGAACTGCAGCAGCGACCAGGGCTGCTGTGCCAGCGGGCCTGCAGCGGTGCGCGGGGCGGGTGCGGTGTGGGGAGCTGGCAGGACTGGCAGGATTGGCGGCGGGCCACGCGGCGGCGGGCACGGCATGCAGGGCGGCGCACGCGCCGCATCCCGCGTAATGTGCCGCTGCTCACCCCTGCTGCCTGCCGCGGCCACCGCCTTGAAGCTGCCTGCGTGCAAGGGCGCAGCAGCGGGCAGCGTGAGGCCTTCCCGCCAGCTGCAGCACCGGGCGCGCCCCGGCGGGCTCGCAGCGGCAGTGCCAGGGCTAGAGGCACCGTGGCGCTCACCCAGCCAGGTCAGGAGGAACACGCTAAAGGCCAGGGTGACGGGCTCGGAGTACCGGTGGAACAGCAGAGGCGCAATGGCGTTCAGTATCAACACCGGAGCGGTGGCGGTGAGCTTGGCGCCCAGCCCGGGGCGGCGTGTGGTCAGCCGCAGCCAGGCGGCGCATGCCAGCGTGTAGGCAATCAGGGCGGCCATCTTGTGCTCCCATCGGTGCAGAGACAGCTCGGCGAGCATCTGCCCTGAGCCCACCATCCTGGGGGCTCCCTGGCGGCCCAAAGAGGCTGGGCGCAGCGATTATGGATTGGGAGAGGCCTTCGATGTGGCGCAGGGAGGCTGAGGAGGTAGAGCCCTCGCCCAGTGCCACGGAGGCAGGGGGGACAGACTGGGCGCTCCATGCTGCTTCTCCCCTTGATCAGGTGCACTTAACGCGTTCCAGGATCCATCTCAGCCTGTTTCAGCCCCCTACCGGTGCAGGGCGACAGCTCCAGGCGGCAACTGGTCGTTGCCACCCAGCGTGCAGCTTGCAAAGCGGGTGCGGGCTGCCCGTGACATCTGCGCTCGGCGGCAGAGCGGCAAATGGGCAGCCGGCGCTCCACCCGAGAAGGCGGCCTGGAGTCGCTGCCCAGCGGCAGCACCGAGCTCTATGAGTCGGCAGAGGAGCTGGACACCGCCTCCCTGGGCGGCTCTCACAGCCGGGGGCACAGCTTCTCGGGTGCGGCAACAAGGGAGCTGCCGCCGCCCGCCGCCGCCGCCAGCGCTGCCAACGGCCTTGCTGCCGGCACACTCCGGACATGCTGGCACTGCCTTTGTATCTTGGCTCAGCAGCAGAGCCCGCATTGCATGAACGATCTCACAACGCTGCTGCTGCCTGCAGGCCGCCGGCGGTCAACCGACGTTGCCTCACGGGCCAGCAGCGCCGCCAGCGAGCGGTTGACCACAGACACAGCCACCACGCCCGCCCCGCGGCCTTCCAGCAGCCAGTCCCCAGCCTCAGCAGCCGCGCAGCAGCTGCAGGAGGTGTCTCTAGACGACCCGCAGCAGCGCGGCGCGCAGCCACCGGCGCCGGCCGAGCGCCGGCCGTCGGCCAAGGCCGCGTCGGGCGCCGGCGCCGGCGCGGCCAACGGCTCTGGCGCGAGCGAGGAGGCAGCACCCACGTCGCCATCGTCCCCAGGTTCTTCCATGTTCAGCGTTCCCAGCGCGTCAGCACCCACAACTGGTATCTACGGTATCCCGTCAGAGATGTTCCGCATCAGGGACCTGGATGCGGGCAGGGACTTCACTCTGGACCAGGTGGGTGCTGAGCTGGACGCGCACGCTGAGCTGGCAGGCTCGCTGACCTGGCAGGCAGGCGAGCTCTGTGCAGGATGCCGCGCCGCCCGCGGCCGGCAGCACGCGTCCGGCTGCTGGACCGGCATGCCCGGTGCCGCGGCTGGCGCCGCCTCCTGGCCACGCCTGCCCGCCACGCCGGCCCCGTGCCAAGCGCCGCTGGTACTGCGGTCCATGGCGCTGCCCTGCAGCGGTACTGGATCAAGGACATTGACACAGGCAACGTGTATGTGGTGGGGGCGGAGGTGGAGAAGGCGGCGGCGGCCCGCGGCCCGCTGGAGGCAGGCGTCCACGGCGCCGAGGCAGGCCGTGTGACGGAGCTGCTGTCTGGGCGGGAGCTGAGGTGGGCAGGGGCTTGAGGGCGGCGGGACGGTGGAGCCCGGCGGCGCCCCGGCGTCGGCCAACCTTTCGGGCCCTGCGCCGTGGTGGCGCCGCACCACCTCCAGCGGTTGCGCTGTGCGTCGCGCTGTGCGTCACGCTGTGCGTCATGCTGTGCACTCTGTGCTCCTGCATGCCCTGCCTCCCCCCCTGCAGCATCAACGAGTTTGAGGATGCGCTGGGATACTTCCGGGAACCGCAGCCGGCGCCCCAGCCGCAGCACGCGGCGGGCGGCGGTGAGGCGGGCGGCGCCTCCGCCATCGCCGCCGGCGCCATGCAGCAGGCAGCGCAGCGCAGCCTGAAGAGCTTCTCCTCAGGTAGGCTGGGCAGCGGGCAGGCAGGTAGCTGGGCGGCAGCGGCAGGCAACACGGCTCGAGCACCTCGCTTGGTCAGGCTGCGCCCTGCCACGGGCTGATGGTGCTGCGGCGTGCATTGAACCCGGCTGCGCCGCCTCTCCTTGGCCGCACCTTGGGGCCCCTTCCTTCAGCAGGCTGAAGCAGGGTGTGCAACGCGGTGTTGCGCCGGTACCGTTGCAGGGGCCACCTGGGTGAAGGCCAGCGTGGGGGGGATGATAAGCAACCTTAAGTCCAGCCCCCGCAGCGCCACGGGCTCGCCCACCGCGGCAGACGGCGGCGCGGAGGCGCGGGGAGGCGGCGGCGGCGGCGCGGTGCCCCCCGCCGTCGACGACCGGCAGGGGCAGCCGGTGAAGGTGCAGGTGCGTGTGGGCGGGGCGCTGGGGCGGCTGGCTGGGAGCGCTGCAGTGGCAGCAGGAACGCCGGTTGGCAACCTCGTCCTCACATTGCTTCTTGCATCGCCACCGCGTCCCTCCCCACACCAGCACCTAGGTGTCCCACCTCGCTGCCAGCCATTCCATGCTGCGGTACCATCAATGTACCACAATATACTGCCCCGTACCATATCTACAGGTGTACCGCAAAAGCTACAAGGAGTTCACCGACCTGCGGCTGGTGCAGCAGCTGGCGGGCCACCAGGGCGTGGTGTGGACCCTGAAGTTCAGCCGCAATGGAAAGTACCTGGCCTCAGGTGTGTGGTGTGTGGGTGGTTCGCGCGCGCGTGTGTGGGTGTGTGTTTTGGTGGTGTGTGTGGGCGAGTGGAGTGCTGCAGCCGCAATGGAAGGCAGCTGGCCTCAGATGCGGGGTGCTCGCTCATGGTGGTGTGTGTGTGGTGAGGTGCATGGTGGTGGTGGTGGTGGGGCGGAGGGAGTTGTGTGCATGCGGGTGCGCTGGCGGGCGTGCTGCGGTCGCTCCCAGCAACCTGTCCCCGCCTGCCTGGTGCACCATGCGCCCTGCCCGCCTGCCCTGCCTGCAGCCGGCCAGGACTGCATCATCCGGGTGTGGGAGGTGTGCCCGGGCCGCGGCACCGGCAGCGCCCCCGGCACGCCCTCTGAGTCTGAAGTGCCCCTAGACGACAGCGCCCCCGGCGGCGGCCCGGGCGGGGCCGGCGGAGGGGCGCTGTTTGCGGGCGGGCCCGACAGCAGCGGGCTGCTGGCAGACCCCTCCGTGGCAGCCTTCCAGCAGCGGCCGTACCGGTGTGTGTGCTGCGGGAAATGTGTATGCTGTGTGCGTGCTGTGTCTGGTGCGCTGCAGCGGGGCTGGCTGGCCGGGCTGGGGCCCCCGCTGGCTGGCCAGCCAGCCAGCCGTTTTCAGCCGTGTGCCTTGCTCCAGCTGTGCGGGGCTGCGGCGCCGCTGACGTGGCATGCTGCGTTGCTGACGTGGCGCCATGCTGCACGCCATGGTACCGCAGGGTGTACAGCGGCCACAAGCAGGACGTGCTGGACCTGTGCTGGTCCAAGACGCAGGTGGGTGGGTGTGAGTGAGTGAGTGAGAGTGAGGGAGAGAGAGGGCGAGAGAGAGAGAGAGAAAGAGTCTGTGCCTGGCTGTCTCCTGCTGCATGCTCGCGGTGGTGGCCACGCCCCGCGCCGCCTGCATGCGGCGCCCAGCCCGCCACGTGCCAAGCCAGCCTGCCCGCCGGTCTGACTGCCAAGGCTGCTGCGCCCTGCCAAGGCTGCTGCGCCCGGCCAAGGCTGCTGTTCCCCGCCCGCGCCCCGTGCCCCGCAGTTCCTGCTCAGCGCCAGCATGGACAAGACGGTGCGGCTGTGGCACATCTCTATGGACGAGTGCCTGCGGGTGTTCAAGTGAGCCTGCCCGCCTGCCTGCCTGCCTGTGCTCATGTTCAAGTGGGCTCTCAGCCCCCTCGGCACCCATGCGCCCGCCGCCTGCCCGCCTGGCTGTGCTCAAGCGAGCCCCCCCTTCGGCACCCATGCTGCCGCCGCCTGCCTGCCTGGCTGTGCGCCGTTTCTCCTTCCCGCCCCCCGCAGGCACACCGACTTTGTGACAGCTATTGACTTCCACCCGCTGGATGACAAGATGTTCCTTAGGTGTGTGTGTGGGGTGGGGGGGGGGGGGAGGGCTGCCTGTGGTCGCGGGTGGGGCTGCCTGAGGACGCAGGTGGCGGTGTTGGGGTGTGGCGCGGGTGGCGATGTTGGGGGTGTGGTGCCGTGGCTGGGTGGCCCAGAGGGCCCTGCAGTCGAGGGATGTGTTGCGCCTTGGGAGGGAGAGGCGTGAGGGCTTGCGGGCCACCCTCCTCGCCGCCGCACTTTGTGTCCTGCTGGCGCTGCCCCCGCTGCGCACACCTTGCCACATAGCCTCGGCCCCAAGACCCGGCCCCTGACCCTGACCCCTGGCCCTCCTGCCGCCGCCACTCTTGCAGCGGCTCCATCGATGGCAAGGTGCGGCTGTGGAACATCCCCGAGCAGCGGGTGGTGTCATGGCAGGATGTGCACGAGATGGTGACCGCCGTCACCTACTGCCTGGGTGAGGCGGGGGAGTAAGCGGCCCTGCCCTGCCTGCCGGCTGCCGCTGGCGTGCTGGCTGGCTGCGGCGCCCCCGCTTGTGTGCGGCTGGTGCCCCCCCGCTTGCCTGCCCTGTCCTGGCGCTGCGCGTCGGGCTTGGGCAGCCGGCCCTGGCTGTGCCCCAGCGCGCTGCGTGGCCAGCCACCCTCCACCCCACCCCTCCATGCCAGCGCCAGCACCACGAGCGCGGTGCGCGGCAACGTCGTACTGCCCCCTGTACCGCAGATGGCCGCAAGGCGGTGGTCGGCACAATGAAGGGCAAGTGCCGGTTCTACACGATCGAGACAAGCACGCTGGAGTACGAGGCGCAGCTGGGTGGGTGGTATCGCATGTACCGCCGCTTGCTCCGCCCGTGTATCGCCAGCCCGACGTCTGCCTGGCGGCCTGCGCAGCCGCCCCTGATCAATCAGCCAGCTGCCGCGGGGGAGATGCCTGCCGCCAGTCTGGCAATTCGGTGCGCTGACCGCGGACTTGCTGGCACGCTGCGCTGCACTGCGCTGCGCTGCGCTGTGTGGCGGTCACTCTGGGTGCAGACGTGAAGAACAAGCGGGGGCAGCACTCGCGGGGAAAGAAGATCACGGGGCTCACCTTCCTGCCCTCGGAGCCGGGCAAGCTGCTGATCACCAGCAACGACTCGCGGGTCAGGTGTGCACGCACGCTGAGCCCACGCTGTGGTCACGCCGTGGTACAATACAGTACGGTACGCTGCGTGTACTGCAGCACTGACGGCGTCGTGCCGCCGCCTTGCTGCGCGGCTGTGGCGCCGTGAGCGACGTTGTACTGCTGTTATACGGCTGTACCGCAGGCTGTACGACGGCTACACGCTGCGCTGCAAGTACAAGGGCCACACCAACCGCAACACGCAGGTGCGGCGCCCGTGTCCACCCTTTTCTGCCCCACCGCCGGGCTTGCGCCGGCCAGCGGTGGGCCCAACCCTCCAGCGTGTGCCGCACCGCTGCCTGCTATACCGCCACCTGCTGTACCGCCCACTTGTACTGCCCGCAGATCCGGGCCTCTTTCTCCCCGGGAGGCGACTACATCACCTGCGGCTCCGACGACGGCTGGGTGTATGTGTGGGGCACCCACAAGAGCGCCGTGCCCGCCAGCGGCGCCGCGGGCGGTACCGCCGGCTTCCAGCGGGAGGCGGCCAACCCGCTGGCAAAGGTGCCCCCCTTGCTCCACGCCTCCCTCTTGCGCTGCTGTGCGCGGGAAAAGGGCGGGCCTGGGTGTGCGGTGTGGCGTGCCTCTCCACGCATCCACCCGCCCATCATCCTCCACTCTTCGGCGGCCCTGCCGCCACCATACTGCCACCACCACCTGCACAACCAGTCACGCACCCCTCCCCCTTCCTTCGCTGCTCTTTCTGAGCAGCAGAACGCCAGCTACGAGTGCCTCCACCCCACCCCACCCACCCACCCACTCCTGCTGCTGCTGCCCCCCCCTCTCCCGCGCAGGAGAAGAATGCCAGCTATGAGTGCTTCCAGGCCAACGGAGACATCGTCACCGTCGCCGTCTTCGCCCCCGCCTCCTGCCACCGCTCCGGTGCGCCCCGTGTGGCTCCGCCTTGTTGTCCTGCTCGCCCGGTTCATCACGCCGGCACGCCTGCCTTCCGGTGTGCGTGCTGGGCGTGTGTGCTGGGCGAGGCGGCTGCCACACCGCCTGACCTGCCCACCCACCCCGTCCGCCTCCTTGCCTCTCCCCACCTTCCCGTGCTCCCTTCCATGCATCCCGTCGCCGCCTCCTCGCCACCGCAGTCGAGAGCATGAGCCCCACGGCGGGCGCGCTGCGGCACCAACGCAGCAACAGCCTGGGGGATGCGCCGGAGGGGGAGGCGGCACTGTCGGCGGCACGTGCCCGCGGCCAGGTGAGCTCCTCCGCCCCGCGGCGCCCCCTGTGCTGATGATCGCTGCCGGTCGCCAGGCGGACCATGGCGTGCAGCAGCGGGCCTGCAGCGTCGGGGCTTTGACTGCTGGTAGCCGCTCCTCTCCCCTCCCATTCTCTCCTCCGGTTCCCGCCCCAAGCTCGCTCTGCCCGCTGCCTCCCGCTCGCCGCCACCGCGCAGGTGCTGGTGACTGCGGGGTACACAGGAGAGATCAAGGTGTACGAAAACATCGGGCTGCCGCAGTGGCTGTGAGCTCCAGCCTGGCTGGCGAGTGCTGTGAGTGTTGCAGCGGCACTGCGTGGGACTCCCCCTTTTTGCAGTGCACGGCTTTTGCAGCGGAGCGGTGTGATGCTGGCGCCAGCTGCAGCGCATGTAAGCCGCCTGCTCCGTCGCCAGGGATGGATGCAGTTTACAGCGGGTGCGGGCCTGCTTCAATCAGGGGCAGTGTACACACTACATGTAGGCAGGGGCTAGAGGTTGGCCATCAATCAGTCAATGCCAGCAGTCCAGTCTCAGGAAAACCAGAGTACGCCAGGAAAATGAAATGACAAGCGATAACATGAAAAAGACATGGTAAACAAGCAAGCAACCAATCCGTCGGTCAACGTCAAGCGACGTCCCCCGCAAGCGACTGCGTCACCACAGCGGCGACGTATGCGAGCAGCGCGGCGCCGCCCACCACCACCACCCAGCTGACCACGCCAGCCGCCTCCAGCAAGGGCTGGCACAGCAGGCGGAACTGCCAGTGGCACCTGCCCAGCAGCTCCGCATCAGGCTCCGGGGCTGCCGCCGAATTCGCCCCGGCGCCCTCCTGCGGCTGCTGCTGCTGCTGCTGCCATTCCTCCGCCTCCCGCTGCCGCTCCTCGGCCGCCTGCTTCAGCTCCTCCCGCAGCAGCGTGCGCCAGATGACCAGCGTGGGGAGCACCAGCGCCAGGGAGGCCTGCAGACCAACAGCAGCAACAACGGCGCCCGGGTGAAAGCATGGGGCGGCCAGAGAGGCGGCGGCGGCTGACACGAGCGGCTGGAATGCCCGCCGGGAGGCCCGCCGCTCGCCCCGCCGCCGCTGCGCCGCACCACCAGGCCGCGTGCTGCAAACAGGCCGCACTGCAACGTGCAGGGAAGCGGCTGGCAGGCCACAAACAAGCCGCGCAACATGCGGGGAAGCAGGAGCAGCAGGCCGCTTGCCTGCACCGCCCACACGACCGCCGTGCACTTGTCCACCTCGCTGGCCGCCTCCCCTGCCCGGTGCAGGTGCTCCCGTGTGCCCAGGCACACCAGGGAGGTCAGGTGGCGCAGCGCGTCGTACAGCGCAGCGGTGACGCCGCCGTTGGCGGGGTGCTGGTCCACGTACTGCCGGCAGGCTGCGAGGGGCAGGGGGCACGGAGCGGGGAGGTGGGGGCCGGGGGGGGTTGCCGCCGGCCTCGCCAGCCGCGCGGCAGGCGACGGCGCTGTGCTGGCCATCCAGCAACGACGACAACGACAACATTGACCACGCCAGCCGGGCTTTGGCAGGCGGATGAGAGGGCAGGCAGGCGGCGGGCCCCGGCAGCACCCCACCTCACCCAGCCGCACACTTCCAGCCACACACAACACAAGCAACAGCAGCACCCAGCGCACCTGTCGGTGCCCGCCGCATCAGCAGGGCGACACAGAGGGACTGCAGCACGGCGTGGAGCAGCGGCGGCAGCGGCAGGCCCACCGCCGACACCGTGCAGCCGTCCACCCAGGCCAGCGGCAGCAGTAGCAGGAGGATGGCACGCAGTGTGCTGGCCGCGCCGCCAGCGGCGCCGACGGCGGCGGACGCCACCGCCGACGGCTGCATCGCGCGCAGCGTGTCGAAGGCCAGAGGGATGAGGGTGAGGGCTGTGCGGATGGCGACAACCATGGGGGTGCGCCAGGCCCGAGCGTAGCGCGCGGGGCGCAGGTGCATGGCCGCCGCGGCGGCCAGCGTGCCGGCCATGAGGCAGGCGACGCCGCGCTGCTCGGCGGGGGTGAGCAGGCCGCGCGACAGCACCGCGCCCTGCACCAGCGCCGCCGCCAGGCAGGTCTGCAGGTCGCGGCGGATCACCCACTGCGCCGCCTCCTCCCCGGTGCCTGCCATGGCGGGGGGGCAGTGTGGGGCACTGCAGGTGGGGCACATGAGGGGAGGGCACGCGGCTGGGTGGGTGGGGCTGGGCCGGGGTTGGGGTCAGGCAAGGGCTTGCAGGCTCGGGGGGAAGGCACAGGGCGAGCGGCCCGCCACGCTGCCCGAGTGCGGCGACGCAAGTCCTGCGCAAGCAGGCGCAGCCCCAGGGGGCAGCGGGGGCCGCAGGCCGCGGCTCGCCTGATTGTGGCACTCTGTCAGCGGCTGCCTGCAGCCGGCGGGAGCGAGCGATGCGCAGCTGTGGTGCCGCAGTGGTGGCGGCAGACGGCGGGGGCGGTGCCGGCACCGTCTGCAGGCCGCAACAGGCTCGTGGTGGCTGCCCACAGCTGCAACCGCCTTCCTCTGCCGTGCGTGAAGATGGTGCAGGCTCGGTGGCTCTCTTGCAAGAGATACGGAGCTCACGGTGAACACTCGTGCATGGCGCAGGTCCTGGGGTTCGAGCCAGGCGTCTCGCAATCTGTCCGCCACGCGAGGGCGAGCCCTCACGTGTCTGTCACAGAGTACGGCACGAGTTCAGAGCCACTGGACTGCCGGAGACAACACGCTGCACTGGCCCCTTGCAGCGCGCTCCTGCGAATGATACGGCGAAATTCTATCCAGTCTGTGCTCGCTCCCATGCTTGCACGACAACTTATCGACGACCCGCCCGATGATTTGGCCGCTGACCCGGCCTAGAGGCCAGGGGCCACCCACGTGGTGCTTGGAATAAGAACACCACTTGCAGCAGCTGGGCAGTGTCAGCCGCAGGGCCTGCTGCAACTACTGCTCACAACAGCTGCTACATGCGTCGGAGCGCCAGCTGCCGCCAAAGGTGCCCGCAGCCTATTAATGGGCTGGCACAGCAGGCGCAAATTATTTACCTAAAACCCAGGGACGCCTGCCAATCTGCTCCTGCGGCAGGCTCTGGGGCTGGCGCCGAATGCGCCCCGTCATCCCACCGCGGCTGCTGCCACCGCTTCGCCTCCCGCTGCCGCTCCTCCGCCGCCTGCAGCTGCTTCAGGTCCTTGGAGGGAGCAGCTGCTTGCCAGCTTGTAAACACCACTGCCAGGCATGCTGTGGGGCCTGTCCGCAGGGGGCATATTGGGGAGCAGGCATCTCAGCCGGCCTGAGGATTGCGTGGGGCCTGTGTGGCGGTGGCGGGCAGTAGTGCTCAGCAACAGAACAGTTTCCTCGGGACGAAATCAAATGCAATTAATCGCAGGCTGGAGCAAGAGGGAGGGGCTGGCAGTGCCGCTGCGGCGCACAGCCCGGCACAGCTGCGGCGCTCAGCTACTTGCGGGGGTCAGCCGTGAGACCAGTGCCCTTGGTGCAGCCGCGCTCGCTCACAGCGCCGCCAGCGCCGCCGCCGCCGCCGCCAGCAGGAGCGCCGCCGCGGCGCCGGGGGCCGGCCGGCCGCCGCGCGAGGGCGGCGGCGGCGGCGAGGGCGAGCTGCCGGTGGCGGGCGCCGCCACGTTGCTAGCACTGGGCACGCCGTCAAAGTATGAGGCACACACGGGGGGCATCTGCGGCGCCGCGCAGCGGGGGGGGGGCGGCAAGCAAGGCATGCATAGAGAGGTCGGTTGGGCGGGCGCCGGCAGCTACCGCCCGGCCCCGCTGGCCGAGCCAGAGGACAGCGCAACGGAAGCGGCGGCGACGGCGACAGCGCCGCTGGTGTGGCAACCGACGCATGCCGCCGCCGCGAACCACCGCAAACGCCGCAGCCGCCGCAGCCGCCGCTGCCGCCGCCCGGCAGCCCCGCTGGCTGGCCGCACCTCTCCTCCGTAGGGCAGGTCCAGGGCTCCCTTGGAGGAGCAGGAGCCGCCGCCGCCGGGGCAGTCGATGGGCTTGAGGTCTGTGCCAAAGCACATGCGCACCTCCTGCAGCGCCCTGCGCCGGCCAAAGGGGGCGCGAGGGACGGCATGCCGCAGGTTTGGGCTGCGGTGCGAGACCCCACGCCCGCCAGCCCAGAAACCGAAAGCAAGGGCCCCATGCCAGGGTGCCACCCTGGTCGGCCTGCCTGCAGCCTCGGTCCTTGACAGGAGCAGGGAGGGCGGCAGCGCCCCCCACCCTTTGCAGCAGGCCGCCTCTCACCCCTTGTAGCAGGTCAGTATGGGCGTCACGCCCCATTCCTTCTCCAATATGCCCTGCACCTGCGCCTGGGTGGCGGCCGTCGCCGCCAGCGGGTTGAGGCCGTTGCTGGCGAGAGCCTCCTGCAGGCAGCGGGGCGGCGGCGGCGGCGCGGCGCCGGCAGTGGGCGGAAGGCGAGTGGCAGCGCATGGTGATGAAATCCATGAGATGCGCCGCCACCCCACACGCTCTGGACGCTGCTGCAGCAGCAGCTGCCCCCTGCTGCCTCTGTCGCGGCACCGTACTGCTGCCACGCCACCGTACTGCTCTTACGTTGAGGTCGTACTGCTCGCTCAGCGCCAGCGCCGCCCCAAAGTAGCCGCTCTCGTTCTGGAACAGCGGCTTGGCGCAGGTGCCGTGCTTGGACCACTCGTGAGACCAGAAGCCGTTGTTGGAGCCTGGTGTGGGTGTGGGTGTGGGTGTGGAGGCCATGGGAACATACCAATAGAGAGATTTTAAACTCACTAGGCGGGTGGACGGGTGTGCAAGGGTGTGCATGGGTGTGTGCATGGGTGTGTGCATGGCTGTGCATGGGTGTGCATGGGGGCGGGCGGGGGTGCACGGGGCCACACCGCGCAGCAGCGGGCACCCGTGGCGGCGCGAGCGGCAGCCCGTCCGCGGCGGGGCTGGGGCCGCATGCCGGCAGGGGGAGCTTGCGCCTGGTTTTGCGCCGCCGCAATGCGTGCATGAACCTCGATGGCTCAGGGAGCCAAGTCAAAAGTCAAGCCAAGCCTGGCGCCCAGTGCCCACGGCATCCCACCCCGCACCCCACCTTTGAAGCTCTTCCACTCGCAAGACATCCGCCCCAGCTGCTCCGGGGTCAGCAGCTGCAGGCAGGGGCGGCGGCACGGCTGGCAGCTTGCTGGTGTGTGTGTGCGTGCATGTGGGCTGCTGTGGTACTCGTGCAGGGTGGGTAGCAGGCTGCTAGGGGCGGCCAGGCAGCGCTGGCAGCTGGCGTGCGACGGGGTGGGTGGAGAGGGGTGGGCGGGCCGGCGGCGCGGGGTGACGCGCGCGGCGGCAGGCGGCGGCGGCGGCCGAGCGCACGTCTCGGCTGAACGCGTCGCTCTTGTCGCAGTCGACGGGGTCGTCGCCGCTGGCGCTGTTGGGCCACAGGCCGTGGATGGTGAAGAGGTTGTACGTCGGCTGGTCGCACTTGGTGCTTTCGCAGAAGGTGGCGGGCCACATCCTGCACGGACGCAGGACCCGAGTGTCACACTTGGATGATTAGACGCCCTACTCGTTGGGAAGCACCGGCTCTTGGCGGTGAGGGGTTGCGCGAGGGGAGGGAGGAGCGCGGGGGCAGGCGGGCGGTTGGAGTTCGCCGCTGCTCCGCTCCGCTCCGCCAGCGCACGGGATGTGAGTCACTGCCACCTCTATAGGGCGCCCCCCCTGCGCGCGAGACCGTGCCGTACCTCGCCAGCAGCAAGTAGTCAAACCCCAGGTCGCTCCCGTTGCTCTGGGCGCGGGCACCCCCCATCAGCAGGAGCAGGAGAGCCGCCACGATGGTGTGGGCTGCTGCTCCCCGGTCTGGCTGCATGCTCTCTGGAGGTTGCGATGCCGAGGAACGAAAAACGAATCGCTCTGTGGCTGCAGCACGCAATGGTGCCCGGTTTTCAAAGAGGGGACGTGCTGCAGAGGAGAATTCGGCTGGCTACCGGGCAGGTCGATCCAAGGAGGCGTTTTGGCAGCCATGTGCAGTGGCAGGTGATGGGCACTCCACGGTCTGGGTGTGTACCGCTGCCAGCCGCGCTCTCCCGCCGCTTCCTTGCGGCAGCGACAAGTTTTTGTCGCTTCTCAAAGCGGCATCGGCTTGGTGGAGGCCTCTGTATCACACCTGGTTGGCAGGGAGGTGAGGCTCGCCTCAATTTGGCGACAGGGCTGCTGCCGTCTGGCGGCTTGCAGCTGCCGCCCCCGCCTTGCCGCCTCCCCGCCCCAGGAGCCGAGGGTGATCACACCCGGCGCGGCAATGCCCAGAGGCGACCTGCATCGCTGCAAGGGGCCAAGAGCAGCCCAAGGTCAGTTGCAAGCGCGGTTTTGCAAGTCGGGCAACTCGCCACGTCGGACACAAAACACGCGTTTTGCCATGGGACCTCCCCCGCTGCATCCTTGTCCACCAGCAACCTCCAGGGGCTCCTTCACTGCCCCCGCCCCGCGCTCCTGAAGCCCCCATCACACTAACTACTGCCCACCCGCCCAGCGCGAGGGACGGTGGTCGCAGCTGGGGGCGGCCTGGCAAATGTTTAGATTGAAGCGTTCGGGTGCCAAAGAAACCGCGCCCAGCAAGCCCCCACAGCAGCACCAGAAGGCGCCCTTGCACTCCGTTCTCAGGTCCCCGGGCAGCAGCAGCAGCCCCAGCGTCAGCAGCGGCTCCACCGGGTCCTCGGAGCGCAAGGTGAGGGGCCTGGCGCCCTGCATCTGCACCGGCATCTATGCCGCCGCCGGCCGGCGCGGTGCATGCCCCTCGAGCGGTGCAGGCAAACCAGCACACCTCCCGCACCCCCAGCGGGCACCCAGGGCACACAGCAATGCTGCAGTTGGCAGCGCCTGCAGCCCCGAGGCTCTGCGCCACCGGCCTTGCGGCACACACCGCCCCGCCGCTGTTGCCGTCGGGTACTGCCTGCTCCAACACCTGTCGCCGCCCCTGCCTGTGCTCCAGGTCCGCTTCAGCGATCCGGAAGTGTCGGCAGACGAGGGCGCGCCGCCGCGGCCGCCCCCCGACGGAGCCGCCGCCAGCCCGGCGCGCCCGCGCGCCGCCGGCGCCAGCAGCCCCAGCACCGCCGCCCCCGGCGGCGCCAGCAAGGGCCACGCCCGCCCGCCGCGCTCCCAGCCCACCCTGCAAACCGTGCACAGCGGCGTAGACATGGCAGACGGCGGCGGCACGCCCCGCGCGCGCGACCACTCGCAGCAGCACCAGCAGCAGCAGCCGCAGTCCCCGTCGCACAGCCACCGCCACAGCCACCACCACCACCACAGGCACGGCCACGCAGAGCAGCAGCAGCAGCAGCAGCAACAGGCGGCGCACGGCCACCATCACCGGCACGGCCACCGGCAGCGGGATCGGGAGGCGTCGCCGCCGCCAGAGGAGGTGGCGGCGGCGGCCGGCGGCGACGGGCAGGTCCAGCAGGGATCGCTGGATGTAAGCGCCCGCCTCTTCCACCAGTTGCAGTGTGTGTGCGTGTGTGTGTGTGGCTCTGTGTGTGTAAGGTGGTGGTGGAGGTGGTCCTGTGTGCCGCTGTGTGTGTGTGGCTGATTGTTGCGCGGCTGCCCGCCCCATTGCCGCCCGCCTGGTGCCGTCAGGCGCACCCTCGCAGCTGCCGCCGGCCCGCCCCGGCTGTTCGCAGGCGTGTGTGCTGCCCGCGCCCGTGCGTGGGCGTGCCGTTCTGCCTGTACTGTACCGCCTCACGTGGTGTACTGCCTGCCCGCCCCTGCAGTACAAGGATGCCAAGAGGGGGATGATCGGGGTGGAGGGCTTTGGGTGCCTGCTGGGGGATGCCGGACGCCTGGTGAGGCACAGCCGGCCGCCAAGCAATGACGCAGCCAGATGGCCAGCCAGCCGCGCAGCCGCAGCCGCCGCTGCTCGGGGCTGGCGCGGCGCGGCGCGGCGCAGGGGAAGCTGGCAGTGTCGGCGCAGCAGCAGCGCCGCGCGACGCCCTGCGTGGCCCTCAGCGGCACCTGCTGACTGGTGCCTTGCTTTAACGCTGCTGCCTGCCTGCCCTGCGCTGCCCCGCCCCGCCCTGCCCTGCCCTGCCGGCAGGACAGCCTTCGGTCGCCCATCGCACGCGCCGCGGGTGTGAAGCGGGAAATGACGACGGCAGACACGAATGGGGACGGCTGGGTGGACTGGGGAGAGTTCTCGGCTTGGTTCCCGTGAGTGGCGGCGCCACGTCAGCATGCCCTGCCCTGTCTTCCTGGGCCAGGCGGCAGCACACCTGCCTGCCCACGCCCCTGCCCCGCTGCCTGGGCCAGGCGGCAGCGTGCCTTCCTCCTCTCGCCCTGCCTTCCTGCTCCTGCCTGGCCTGGCCTGGCCGTGCTGTGCTGTTTGCCTGCCCGGCTGCCCCGGCGCGGGCTTGGGGTTGGGGGGCTGTATGGCCCCGCCGGCGGCCGGCTGCCGGGCGGCGGCCCTCACGCTGCGCGTGCTGAGCGCCGCCCGCGCGCCACCCCGCCGCCGGGGCCGCCTGCCGCCTGCAGGACCTTCCAGCAGCAGCACTACACTCAGCAGCGCAATCAGTTTTATGAGGAGAAGGGAAAAGAGGCGG